CAAAACTCTGACACCACTCAACAAACATCAAATAACAACGGGAGTCAAACAATTAAGTCAGTCAACAGTTAATGGAGTCAAACAATTAATGGAAGCAAACAATTAATGGGAGTCAGCAATTAATAGAATCAAACAATTAATGGGAGTCAACAACTGATAGAATCAAACAATGAACAGATATTTCCTACGGCAGTGGCCCTGGGGGAAGGTTCTGGAACATGGTGATGCACATACAGGGTAGGGAAGCGTCCATTCAACTCCACACTTGAGCGACAGCGGCAGATTGTCTTGAAATGGCAGGAGAACACAGGGGCACAGACGGAATGAGATGAATTGACGGTCGTGGTATGTGGTAGTGGTAGATGACCAGAGAATTGACAGTCGACAGGTGAAGGTCTGGGGACACAGCCCACGAGTCCAGGACCTATGATGAGATCACAGCCAGAATTTGACGAACAGCCGGGTAGCTAGATAGTGACTGTATGGCGGCTGGGTTGAATCTGCCTGTGACCCAGATAGTCGCTGCCGTTCTCACCTCTGTCCAACCGCCCCAAGTGTCGTCCGCACCAGCAAACGAGCGAGTTAGCAGCGGTAACCAGCAGGAAGATCGTTTCCACCCTTACACAGCTCCCCCAACAAAAATCTACTGTAAGGTAGATTAAAACTTAAGATTAGTACACAAAGCATAATCATCTTACAACAAGGAACCGCACGTGGGGTTCCACTTCAGTCCAGGTTTAAGTTTGGGCCTATTTCCAGTCGTAGAGGATTCTTCTATCTCGTCAGGTGTTGGCAACAACTGGCAATCGAGATCAACAGACTCTGGCGTCCGAACTTCACCGGAACTCTTGCAGGGTAGTGCCTCGACTAACTCCAGCTTGGGGACGTCGTCAAGGACACGAGCAATGTGGGTCCTGCAATTATATTGCTTTAACAAATTAGCTTGATGTAATTTAGGCTTCTTAGAGGAAGGGGGTAAGAATCGTCCAACAAAATCTATGGCTACCCGAGAACATGGTTCTGCAACGACGGGTAAGGGTTCAAGTGGAACAGGACGGACTCTACCCTTGGCGGACATACGTGGGCACTGATCACAACTCCTACAAAAAACTCTAATATCCCACAAATCACAGGGCAGTGCAACGTTTCTTGGGCATGGCAGGCTGCTACCGACGTTTCAGCCCGAACTTTTCTAAAGTAGCCGGCCCACTGACAGATCTTGTCAGCTCAAAGAAAAACTTTGTGTGGTCTACTGCTTGTCAGACTGCCTTTGATAAGATCAGTTCTCTACTAGTATCAGCACCGGTTTTTCATGCTCCGAATTTCAGTGTCCCTTCATTTTACAAGTTGATGCCAGTGATGTTGGGGCTGGTGCAGTATTAGTACAGGCAGATGATAGTGAAGTTTTATATCCAATATGCTAATGTCTGTAAAGTTTAAACCTCATCAACGCAATTACTCTACTATAGAGAAAGAAGCTGTAGCTCTGCTTATAACAGCTTCTTATGTAACAGTATTCCACAGTAATGGGGAGAACCTGATATCTCAACCTTTACCAACTGTGTATCTGTTGAGGTGACTGTAAGTGTGATATAACAGTTACTTGTGAAACTGTCATATATGTAATAACCTTCCTGGGTTGTCACCACTTATAACAATCACTTGAGAAGCACGTTACCTTATATTTTAGACATACTAAAATATAGATCAAAGTTTATTGGATCTTCTGTAGTGAAACCCAATGTGTTCCTTTCTGTATTTATTAAGAAAATATATTATATACAGTTCCAAGTGTGTATCGCCTTAACTTAATCACTGTAGCTATGAGTTTTGAACATAAGGACGGAGGCTATATTAAATAGCTCTTCTAAATACGTCCCCCTTGTGTGAGAGAGTGAGGAAGAATGCGAATAATACCCATCGAGAGAGAACGGTAATATACGTCCTCCCTCGAGGGAAGACTGAACCATCCACGATGGCTCTCAATAACGTCTTCCTCTCATCAAGGATATCAAACTATTGCCGCAAGAGATGGCCAGAGAGCCGGCTACTTAATGCCTTAGCTTAGCACTAAGTGACACGACTTCCCATGGGCACACCTTATCATGTGCTCTGAACATGCTACCTCATAGCTTGTGGAAAGTTACAGAGGGTGATAGAGTACATAAATCAAATGCAATTAACCCATTTATATAAATACTTGTGCCTATAAGACAGGGTCTATTACATGCTTATGGAATTGGAAAAGTTTAATGTATACCTTGGCAGCACCAATCAGAAAATTGTAGTTTGCAGTGACCATAATCCATTACATTTCGTGACTCGTATGAAAAACAAGAATCAGAGACTTACTCCATGGTGTTTAACTCTGCAGCCATATTGAGATCAGACATATTAAAGGAAAAGATCATCTCATAGCAGATGCCCTATCTCGTGTAGCAGACTGAAAATAAAACATAAGTGTTTTATCTTAAGGGGGGAAGTGTTATGTAGCACAGTA